CCTTGCTTCAAGCTTTCATCTGACTTGGCTCTAAAATAAACAATAGCAAGATGTCAACACCCACCACCTGGGAACTTTAGAAAACTATGGTGTCAAGCCTCATTGACTGCCGAGATATGAAATTGCGCCTAATTGGGTTTCTCATCCCATTTCTCCCAGGTGATAACTCCTTACAAAGCATATCTTCTGTCACTTTGTGCACTTCAAACCCTACCTAGGATAATCTCATGGTAATCTAAAACAGTGGCTGGCAAACTATGGCCCACAGGCCAGTGCAGCCAGCTGCCTATGTTTCTAAATGAAATGTGGGACCACACTTCTATTTGTTCCTGTGATGCCCCTCTGGTTCCTTTGACACCATAGCAGAGCCAAGTCATCTGAAACACCTGGAATAAACCCTCCAAATCCATGAGCTCAATCCTGAAACTCAACCAACCGAAAATCGAAAATATTTGAAAAGTAATTACTTCTGTACCAAATATGTACAAATTTTTCATGTCATTCTCTAAAAACTATAGTCCTATAACTATGTGCATTGCATTTGTTTTGTATCGGATAGTATAAGAAATCCAGATATGAGTTAAAGTATACAGAAAAGCCTGGTATCAGTGGCTAATGCCTGTAATCCTAGCTACTTAGGAAACCTGGACTATTGTGGCTAGAAGCCAGCTTGAGGAGAAAAGTACAGGACACACCATCTCCAGTTAACTAGCAAAATGCCAAACTGGAGAAGTGGCTGAAGTGGTAGAATGCCATCTGAGCAAGAAAGCATGAGGCTGAGTTCAAACCCAATGTAAGTGAATGAGGTGGGGGGGGGGGGGAGAGGGTACTATCTGCTATAATTATTTACAGAGAATCTCAAATGGAGAATAATACCATCCATAGACGATCTAAGTGACATACACAATTTTATATTCAGCAGTTACCGTATTAATAAAAGTAAACAAAAGCTGGGTACCAGTGGCTCATACCTCTAATCCTAGCTACTTAGTATTCTGAGATCTGAGGATTATGGTTCAAAGTCAGCCTGGGCAGGAAAATCCATGAGACTCTTATCTCCAATAAACCAGCAAAAAAAGAAAAAACCCCAACCCCGAAGTAGAGGTGTGGTTCAAGTGGTGGCGTGCCAGCCTTGAGCATAAAAGGCTCAGGGACAGAGCCCAGGCCCTGAGTTCAAGCCTCAGGACAGGTACTAAATAAATAGATAAATAAATAAACAAGAACAAGTGTGATTAGCTTAAATATGTTTTAATTAACTTGATGTATCCATCTATTACCACTTCAACATGCATTCAACATAAAAATTATTAAAAGATAGTTCATAGCCTTTTTGAAATTAGCAAGGCTTTGAAATCTGGTTTACTTTTCCCTTTCCAGCCTGGCTTAGTGAGGACCAGCCACATTTCATTACTAGTGGCTCCTCTACCTTGTCAGTTAACATATGTCTGGAATCTGTATCTTTGGGTATGCTTTTGCACTTGAAGTGTGGAGCCAGGTAAAAACAAAATAATCGTCCCATGAATGTATAGAGATTTTCTTTGAAAGCCGGGGTCTGGTGGCTCACACCTGTAATCCTAGCTATTCAGGAGGCTGAGATCTGAGGATCTTGGTTCAGAGGCAGCCCAGGCAGGAAAGTCCGTGAGGTTCTTATCTCCAATAAACCACTAGAAAACTGCAAGTGGTGCTGTGGCTCAAGTGGTACAGTGCTCACCTTGAGCTGAAGAGCGCAGGGACAGCGCCCAAGCCCAGAGTTCAAGCCCCACGACCAACCAAAAAACAAAAAGAAAGAAAAAGTAAAAGAAAGATTTGCTTTGAGCAAGGATTTGAAGGCAAGGCCCCAGAGAGGGACAGCAGGTGTGGAATTCCTTCACCCACTGTGTTAGGAGGGTGACATTTCTGGCCAAGCTTACTGGCCAGTACATTGTGCTTATTAATGCAGAAAAGTATGATGGGGACATTTTTGGCAATCAGATGTAAAAGAACGAACGGGATTATTACTAAATGCACTTTGCAATGAAATCTAATGAAATCAAATGGCAGTTCTCCAACATGCTGTTTTAAAAGAGTATTTTGCTGAAGTTTGTAGTATTGGCATTAGAAATGTGCTGGAAATGAAACAATCAAAACAGGAGCGAGAACTAGACCAGGGTGAGTTTTTCAGCACTGTATAAAAAGAGTGTGGAAGGGATGTCTTCTTGTGCAGGAGCTAGTGAGGAGGCCTGTCGTCCCTGCCCGGCTTAAGGTGCAGAGGCTAGTGGGCTAGGCTTTTAGTGGCTCTGGAGAGCCATAGCTGTGGGTGAGTTCTGACGTGTCCCAGTGGCTTGATTAGGTGCTGTGATTTAGCACACCTGGTCTTTCATTCATCCAATGACGGATGTGCCATCCACATGCTGGGATGGTGGGTGTATCCCTTTATGTGTGTGCATGCAGAGTGCAATCCAGACTTCACAGAGCCATGAAACTCCATCTTGCTCCCAAGTGGGTAGATGATGGAAAGGTGCCAGACTTTAGGCTGGCCTCTGCTCTCCCTCCTCCCCCGCTGCCCCTTCCTGCTGTCCCTTCTCCCCCCCCCCCCAAGGTGAGCCATATGGGAGACACTTGTGGGTTGTCACTTCCTCATCCCCTGAGAAGGGGCAGGCGGGGCACCTGCGAGGGCCTGTGCACTCTAATGCATGCTCTACTTCTAATTATAAGATTATTTTTGTATTTGTTTTCTCCCTGTAATTTGGCAGTATAAATGAGAGCATGAAACAATTAAGTGGGGGTGGACAGTTTTGGCTCGTACTATTTACATATATTTATTCCCATAAAATCTTCAGGATGGATGGAAAGGAATAGCCACCCCTTCTCTCTTCTGCCTTTTCCAGAAACTGCATTTCCCATGTGCACCTTTTAGTAGGATTGCCCTCCACCCTTTTTGAATATTCATGTGGTTTGAAATGGAAAGAGAAATGAGAGCGGATAACACACAGCTCTCTCCCTCTTACTGTCTCCTGGTCAGTCACCTACCTCCTCCTTATCTGTGGTCCCTGGGAGCAATACCTGCCCTTGTGTATCAAGTGGGTTTTTCTTTGTGGGGATGGCACTAAGGACGGAACGTGGAGCCTTTCAGAGGCATTCTACCAGCTCAGCTACACTTCTAGCCTTCAAGAATATTTTTAAAAACCATGTATGTACGTGTGATCCATATCATATTCTAAACCTACTAAGAACAACAGTAGCCTCACCCCACCCCATACCCTTTAAATACCATTCCATTAGTTGCACATGAAGTTGCTCCTCTTTTCATAGTAGTATAGTACTCCGAGGACAGATCTGTTGCAATTTATTTAATGAGACCTCCTTTGATGGACATTTAAACTTCCCATCTCCTGTTGTGACAAATAGTGCTGCCATGAAAAGTCTGCCTACATCACCTTCTGCCCTCCTTCCTTCCCATTCTCCCTCCCTCTTCCCTCCCTCATTTCCTTCCTACTTTTGATTACCCCATTGATAGATACTTGAGTTGCTTTTAGCGATTAGGAATATAAATATTTGTTCAAGTGCTTGTTTTTAATTTTTTTGTATGTATACACACAGAAGTGGAGTTGCTGGATTAGATCCTATAATACCTGTTTTCTTGCTGGTTTTGTGCTGGTATTGGGGCTTGAACTCAGGTCCTGGGCCCTGTTCCATAACTTTTTCACTCAAGACTGGCACTCTACCACTTGAGCCATAATTCTACTTCTGTTTTTGTTTTGATTTTTTTTTCCTGGTTAATTGGAGATTAGAGTCTATAGACTTTCATGCCTGTGCTGGCTTTGAACCTCAATCCTCAGATCTCAGCCTCCTAAGGAGTTAGGATTACAGGCATGAGCCACTAGCACCCTGTTTATTTATCTGTTTTCGAGAAACTTCCATACTGTTTTCCATTGCAACTACTACATTTTAAGTTCCCACCAACCATGCATGGGGGTTCCAACTTCCCTACAACCCCATCAATGCTTATTTTCTGTTTTTCTTTCTTGGTATAGAAGCTATACTAATAGATGTGAAGTGGTCCAAGGTGACCTTTACACTGTTGTGTTTTGAATACGTGAACCACAGCCACGTTCACAAGAACTCTTAGCCACACACATTTCAGAACCTCATACTCTAAACAACACCTTGATTTCATAGCCAAGCTTCCTGGATTTCTTCAGGAAGAAATGCCCACAGTGAGAGCCCTTGTCATTGAACGAAGCAACAAAGTGAACACATAGCTACAAATCTCTCTTGGCACAGGTAGCATCATTCATGGTGAAAAGATCAGACAGCCTAGCTCCTGATCCAGAAGTGCCGGCGGGTGACCTGGAGCAGTGGAGACCCCCTGCTGGCCCATCCATCTTGTAGGCTTGTTCTGGCCCTGCATTTGCAGGGCATAAGAGGGCCAGGTTGGCATCTTCAATAGGTTTCTAAAACCATTCGAGTTGGTAGTGTCTGGCCACCATTTGGAGTCAGGACAGTAGTTTGCAAATGTCTGAAGCTGGGTGTCTTCTGTTCCCTGCAAAGCAGCTTTCTCTGCTGCCGGATTGCTCTGGAATCACTGCGAGGAACTTTGAAAGTCACATTTGATCAACAGATGTTACTGAGCCTGGGGAGAGAGTTCAGTGTGTGTGTGTGTGTGTGTGTGTGTGTGTGTGTGTGTGTGTGTGTGTGTGTGTGTGTGTGTGTGTGTGTATGTGTTGGGTTTCTCCAAATGTTTAGTAATACATTGCTTCACATTCATTGCTTCTGTCAATTTATCCAGGAAAAATAATGATTCACACATCTATTAATATGATGATCCATGTGTGCGCGTGCACGTGCACGTACTTGTGCCAGTACTAGAAATTGAACTCATAACCTCACATTCTCATTTGTCTTTTTCCAGTTAAGGCTGGCGCTCTACCACTTGAACCACACCTTCCCTCCACTTCGTAAGATCATGATTTTTTTTAACTTTCTGTATCTTGCTTTTGTTTTTTTCTTCACCTTTCCAGAATGTTGTTCCATCTTTGGGTAGGCAGACTTCCCTGACTACCTGGGTGATGCCCAAAGCCGAGCAGAGCACGACTTACAAAGACTTTATTTCTTTTACTGCCTTTGAAGGAAGCGTGCGCAACGTGTCTGAGGTCTCGGTGGAATATTTATGCTCGCAGCCTTGCGTTGTCCATCTGGAAGCCGTGGTTTCCTCCGAGTTCAGAAGTAGCATCCCCGTGTACAAAAAACGGTGGAAGAACGAGAAGCATCTTCACACCAGCAGGACACAGATAGTGCGCGTGAAATTTCCAAGCATTATGGTGTACAGAGATGACTACTTCATCCGGAACTCCATTTCTGTCTCCGCGGTGATACTACGGGGCTGGATTACGCACCAACACCACGGTGGAGACTTGAATGTTAAATGGGAGGAACACTTGCTCCATGCAGTGGCCAAGAATTACACGCTGCTGCATTCCATCCCCCCTTTCCAGCGCCCCTTTAAAGACCACCAGGTGTGCCTGGAGTGGAACATGGGCTATCTTTGGAACCTTTGGGTGAACAGGATTCCCCAGTGTCCTGTGGAGAATGGTAGGTCATTGGCTTTGCTAGGAATCCTATCCATGTGTCTTTATAGATGGCAGGAGAAGGTTCTTCAATTAGCAGTGGGGTTGCGAATGCAAATGTAGGGGGTGCATTTGGACTTTGGGGACAAGAGGAGAAAAGAAAAAGGGGGAAGAGAGGAGGAAGATGAGGAGAGGAGATGAAGACAGGGAGGTTTTGAGAAGTTCAGAGCTGAATTGCTGGCTAAGAACATGAATGCTCCCAGGAACAAAGGCTGGGAGCTCTTCCTCCTGGCTCTGGCCTCCCCTACCCCGCAAGTTTCAGCTGGTTTTTTTTTTCTTTTTCCAAAGAATGTTTTATCCCAGTGGAAATACAGCCCTGAAGGAATCCTTCTGTTACACAGGGAGGTTGGAGTTCAGAATGCTAACTCCTGCCTTGGTCTGCTTCTATGTAACGATAGAACTCTTTGCATGACTCAGTTTTCTGTATTTGTAAAATGGGAACACAATCCCCTCAGAGAACATGGAGGGGATTTATGTCAGCACTCATTAAGATGTAGTGATAGTGGTGACAGAGTCTATATTCTGCATGATATCCTCACACTCACCTGGCAGAGCCCCCACAGTACAGCACAGGAGACCTCGGACCCTTCTGTGTGGGGACTAGAGATCTCTGGTGCTACTTAGAATTGGGTCTGAAGACCTGCAGGTCCCAGGAGTCACCTGGCTGTGGGGGTGCTGAGTTCCTGCCAGTTCTACCCCCCACCTGTACCAAGAAGTGAAGCCAGGCTGACACTCAAGCCCTCGGCCAAGATCTGGTATGCTTCCTATTAGCACCGCCTGAGAGAATTCCCCAGAGCTTTGTTTGGGTTGTCGCTTAGCTTTTCCATTCAAGGGTAGTGCTCTGCCACTTGGGCCAACCACACTTCTGGCTGTTGGGTGGTGAATTGGAGATAAGAGTCTCACGGACTTTCTGCACAGGTTAGCCTCGAACTGTGATCCTTAGGTCTCCGCTCAGATCCAGAGTAGCCAGAACTACAGGCATGTGCCACCAACATCCAGCCAGTTTTTTTTTTAATTAAATTTTTTCTGAATTAACATACATTTGTAGGTCACATAATGCCCTTTGGGCAAATTCATGATCTTCACAGGTTCCCTTTGCTTCCTTCCCTCCTCCCTCCTTTGTCAAACAGCATTTGGTGAGTTTCATTATAATATCTTCATATATAGAGAAATAAATGTGTGTGATGCCCTTTGATCTTCATCAGCCCTCAGAGTCCCCCCTTCTCCCCTTCCAGTAGGTCACCTCCTAGATGGACGTCCTGTTACATTTCTCTGTAACTCTAGTACAACAGCAAAGGCAGATAACTAGCGCTGATGGAGTCCTGTTAACTAGACTACAGGCAGAACTCAGGTTCCTCTGCTTTTCACACTCATTTCTGTGTGCATGTACGGATGTGTGCATTCTGTTCAGCTTCATCCTGCATCCTGGTGGTACTTTGATACAGAGATCCATAGAATGAGGCAGACTCTCGCCCCTATGTGTATGCATGTGTCCTAGGTAGAGTAGGGAGGGTAATTAGATGTCTGAAATAAGTTGAGCTGCGTGCATTTGCATGACCGATGTGCGGCCCTCCTCCAGGCAGAGCCCCATGCTCACATCTGTCTGGAATGCCTTCCACAGGGATTCTTAATTTGTTGAGCAGAAGGAACGCGGGGCACACGCAGCCACAGTTTTTGCTTCGCCTCTGACTTTGTCAGGCCTTAATGATTCCATTTCATGTTTGGCAAATCACATATTTCTCATTGAAGAATGGCTGGATTGCAAGCTGGAAGTTTCCAAATGAAATCATTTATGAACCGGCTCCGTTCTTAAGGCACCTGAACATGCCCTGAAAATGTGAAATGTCCTTTTCATTCTTTTGTTGTTCCTTTTCAGGGCTTACAGTTTTCAGGAATGGCACAGTGGGATTTTTTTTTCTCCCCACCTTTCTTGGAGCATTAGTCTTGGTGTGAGAACTAACGTAATCAAATCAGAATGCAGAGGAAAACCTTTGCTAAGAGTTAAAGTGGCTGAAAATGATGTAGAGAGATCCAAGCCCTCTCAAAACCAGCTCTGTTCCAACCATGTTTTGTTGACCAGAATAAGGGAACATTTCCTCTTTTTCTCCTTAAAAGCTGAGCTCTGATGACTCACACCTGTAGTCCCAGTTCCTCAGGAGGCTGAGATCTCAGGATCACAGTTCAAGGCCAGCCCAAGCAGGGAAAGTCTGTGAGACTCTTATCGCCAATTAACCAGCGAATAGTCAGAAATGCAAGTGTGGCTCAAATAGTAGAGTGCCAGCCTTAACTGAAAAAGCTAAGGCACAGTGCCCAGGTCCTGAGTTCAAGCCCTCATACTCCCTCCTGCCCCCTCACACACAATAAGACAAATTGCAGAGACAGAGCAGCAGCTCTGTGGCAGGTGACCCTGACCTCGGTCCTCCGTGTGACTGCCCTCTGTCCTCTTTACCCCACTCTCAACCAGAGAGTCAAGTCACAACAGGAGAAAGCATGGTAAGGCACAGAACTGAGCTTTGGGGCCACTGGCCACATCTGCTCCTCGTCACCATCTGCAGCCCTCAATTCTGAGGGCTTGGGGGTGTTTCTGTGTCATGCGCCTGAGGTCTTGCCGTGGCCCTGCCTCTGAACTGCAGCATCTCTGCTTGGTGCTGCAGCATGAATGTTGTGCCTCAGCCACCAGTCTGGCTTCTGCTCTCCTGGGTGAGGGTTGTGTGGAGGGTGTATAGCTCCTTCACTAGGACCCGGCCAGGCCACTGAAGCAGACTTTAATCTGTCCCTGAGAGCAAACTTAGCCCAAATCAGAAGTCAGCACCCTTTCAGATATGTGTGTGCCAGGCTCAGCAATGCCCCTCCAGTGCCCCTTTCCCTACTGCATGCAGGGTGTGGGCCTCTTAGGTAGTTAGGCAGGCAACGCCTGTGGCTCTATTGTTGTCTGCTTCCTTGAGGGAGGGATCAGGCAGAATCTGTTGTCCCACACAAGTCCCGTGTGCCTGACTCATGCATGAACTCCCAGTGGAAGAAAAGAAATCACCCCCCTAGTCCTCCCCCTGCCCCCCACCAGTCTCCCCAGTCTGGGACTTTTGGACTTTTTCTGCCACACCCTATGCTAAGACTCAGCAGGTGCTGTGAGGGACAGCTTCAGCTCATATATATCACGTGTTCAAGCTCTCCTTGCCTCATCCTGGTCTAAGTCACCTGCAAGACTCCAACCACTGCCTGCAAGTGGTCCCCAGCTTTATCCTTGTCCCCTTTGGGGTCTGTCTCTGTCCCCTTCTGTAAGATCTCTGTGTGGCTCCCTTCTTGTCTGCTTCATACTGCTGCTCAAATGCCAGCTTCTCTGGACACTTGGTCCAAGGTAGGGCCCTGCACGCCATAACCCCCTAAGACAAAGCCTCCTCCTCCCTAGCAATTCTGCCCTAGCACCCAGCCTTCACCTCCCCGCACCTTTAGTTTTCTCTACAGCCTCATCACCAACAGGCATTATAGTTAAGTGACCATTCTTGCCAGTTTGCCTGTTGGATGGTTCCCATATTAGAAGTCCCACTGGAGAAGGCCAGGGCCCCTTGCTTTGAGTCCTGGGAACAACATCCTGTGGTGTCCCCAGTTGCTGTATTGTGGCACTGAGGAGCATGGGGAGGTAAGGAACAGCAGTGTACCCTCTCATAACTTCCCAGGGGGTCACCCCCAAGGGGCACTGGTTAAGATGGCAGACTCCTAGTCATCCATTCTCTTTTGCATACCCACCTGGATCCATCTTAGTGGGCGGAGTCTGTGGTTCTCATAGCCCCTCCCACTGCTCTACCCTAGCCCCAATGCCCTGCACCAACCTCAGCCCATTTCCACCTTCCTTGTCTTCCTGGCACAATCATGCTAGTCCTTCCATAGCCAGGTCAATTTCTACCCCCACTCTGAATATAGATATGCATGTGTCTATATATGTGAATATGTGTGTGTATATATACTTTTTTTTTTTTTTGCCAGTTCTGGGGCTTGATCTCAGGGCTTAGGCACTGTCCCTAAGCTTCTTTTGCTCAAGGCCTTCAGCCACAGTGCCACTTCTGGCTTTTTCTGTTTATATGGTACTGATGAATCGAACCCAGGGCTCCGTGTATGCCAGACAAGTACTCTATCATTAAGCCACATTCCTATCCCTACTTAATTTTATTTCCACAATCAGAAATAAACTCCTTGGCTTCACAGAGCCCTCTGTGGGAACCTCTCATGATAAGTTTCAAATTCACTTCCATGAAACAAAGGCTGACTGAACCCCTCTACTAGGTTCCAATTTCTAGACTCAGATTTGGAAGCTCAGGGATGATGGTGGTTCCCGGGAGGTGAGCAGTTCCCAAGGGTTGTAGCTGCTTGGCCTGGTAAGGCCTCCTTGTGTGCCAGGCGCTGTGTGAAGCACTTCTCGTGAGAATGGGACTTTTCTGCAGGGCAGAAGAGGGAAGGGACTTGTGCAGACATCATGACTTGTCCATGGCCACCCTGAGGGATGAGATCATGAAGCTGTTTCTCTATTTGTTTACTTAAAAACATTCACGGTTGACAGTTTCTGAGATGTCTTTATATATTAAGTGCTTTGCTAGGCTTCTTTACAGAGGTGACATTTGGACAGATATCCAAACTGTGACTATAGCTTTCACCATCAAAAGAATAGAGTGAAGGACATCCAGGCAGAAGGGAAAGCATGAGCCACCACAGCCTGACTGGGGACTAATGACTCACCTGCCTCCCTTGATATACAGATGGCAGACAGGCTTTACTGTGTGTGCTTCCTAGGGCTGATGGGAGGGGCTACCCAGAGCACACAGTGTGTTGATTGACAGGTTCTGGGGCTGAGTCTCTCTTGGTTGGAGAACCATGTCATTTAGTTATAAATATCTGCCATAGAATGGAATGTGGACATATTTGAGTCCAAAAGCAGAATCTCAGGTGTGAGATAGACATTTCAAGTTAGGACCA